TCTCTCTCTCTCTCTCTCTCTCTCTCTCTCTCTCTCTCTCTCTCTCTCTCTCTCTCTCTCTCTCTCTCTCTCGCTCTCTCTCTCCTTCCTGAGAAGCAAACCTAGGAGTGCTTTATTATTATTATTATTTTTAAACATGGAACGCTTCACGACTTTGCGTGTCGTCCTTGCGCGGGGGCCACACTAATCTTCTCTGCATCATTCCCATTTTAGTATATGTGCTGCCGAAGCGAGCACGGGTGCTTTATTCTTGAGCTACAGTTTGAGCCTTTTCTGACTTTTAGTTTAGAGGCAGCCTCACTAAGTGCCGCAGGCTAGAATCAAATTTCCTGTTTTCCTGCCTCAGCTTCCCGAGTACCAAGGACTACCAGTGTGCCTGGCTATGTCTCGTTATCTTAATTCACTAAATTTTTAAGATCATTTTAAATGAAGGAATTTATTTACTAAGTACTGATTTTATTTTAGGAATGGGGCAGTATGTGAAAATGAAACAAATCTAAACAAAATGCTACTGCTTAGCACTGCCCCTCCTCACCATGCAGCAGTAGGGATCCAAATTGTCTGCGGTGGGTCAGAGATACAGGCATTTCTTGCAGGCTTGGTGTAGAGGGAGACAGACCGTGAACTCTGCTTTTCCAAGAGCAGGGAAATCAGTAGGGAGTTGGCATGCGAGTACTGGGGCTGGGACAGCTCTGAGAGCTCTCTGCCTACTCCTTGGTGCTCACAGGACCTACAATGTTCTGTCCCTGGTGCTTTCCAGGGTTCATAAAAGCATGAGCCCCCAAGGAAGGCTGCCCCAACCAGGGCAGCTCCTGTAATCAGTCCAGCGCTTCCCATTCCACACTCTATTCCTCAGCCACACCCTGCCTAAGACACGCCAATCCTTCCTTCTGAAGATTAGTTCCTTATGGTCTGTCAATCTACTGTCAAAATGAAAACTCGTCTAAGTGTTCAGATCCCTTTATCTGAACACTGAGTCACCTCTGATAGGCAGATTCTGATTCTTCCTGTTATTTTGCCCCATGGTTGAATGCCATGTTTTTCTTTTTCAGACTTTAAGCCTCATGTCTTTTCAATTTAACCTTGCATCTTGTTCAAAATAGGGACCCAAATCCCAAATCCTAGTACCTATTTTCATGTGAACTGACCACCATGTGACATTTTGTTTCAACAATAATATTACTGATTACATTATTTCTACTACTTAGTAAATAATCAAATAGTATTTTCTGAGATGTTCTACTTGTTTACAGTAGTTCCTAGTTATTACTTTTGCCATTTGCTAGACTAGATAATATATCATCTATATGAAAATGCTTAAACTCTCCTTCCATTGAATCTTGCAGAGAGTAAGTTTCATAGGTAAGCACTCATATCTATCTGAGAATGAAAACAGTAGAGACACACAGAGCTCAAGTTACAAAATCGCACAATGTTTCCTCCAACGACAAACTAAAAGCTATCGATGACAAACTAATTCTTTCACGAGTAAAGAAAAACAAAATGCTTAAATTAAAAGTTTAGCTATGACACACTTTGCTGTTATAAACACAGGTGGACACACAGAAAGTATCCAAAGGGAAGGAACAACCGGGACGACGGACAGCTGGGGAATGGAAAGGAGAAAGTGAAGAAAACAGAAGGAGAACGCTAGCACACACACGCACGCGCTCACGCATGCACGCACATGCACACGTGTGCACACACACACATGCACACACACACGCACACAGGACCACAGGATAGCTTGAATTGTGCTGCTGACTTCTACTTGTCTATTGAAAGGGACAGTTAATGCTTAATTTTTTCCCTACTTTTAATTTTTTGGCCAAGTTTTCACGCTCATATCTGGTAATGTCAACAACTAGTCTAAAGACAACAGTATATGCAGTATAACAACCGTTGCTGAAGTCTACCATCTTGTTTAATGAAATTCTGTATCATTTCTAATGCTTTTTTTACTATTACTTATGCTCTTTAAAAAATAAGAGAATCAGAAGTTTCACTCTAACCCATGGATTAAATCCAGCCACTCGTGCTTTTATGAGATTTTGTTGGAGCACAGATTGTACCCACTTAAGAGTCTTGGGCTGCAGTGCTGATAGTTAGCAACTCTCACAAAGATTGTTCAACACACAGATTCTGGATGTTTAATTATGCTAGGACATTTCCAGAAGTATTTCCCAAATGTTTCCACAGCCAAGCTAAAGTACCACACGCAGAACTGGTAGGAATGCGAGCTGGGAGCTTAGTATTTCTCGACAGTATGATGCTCATTCTATCTACCGCCTTAGAAGGCCAACATTGTAGTGCGGAAATTTAAGACATTAAAGATAAAATCAAAATGATAAGAAGAAACTGGAAGAAGAAATGAAATTTATCCAGGGCCACCAAATCTTTCAAGAACTTCAAGTTTGAAATAGCTGTTGAGTCTTGTTCATGACCTCCCCCAGAGCCATGGAGTGTCACAGGCAGCACCAATTTTTGTGTATCTTTTTCAACACCACAACTTAGTTTATCAAGCCACAGTGTATTTTCATGGAAATGACTTAAAATAAAGTAATAAGAATTAGCAGCTTGCTGGTTTAGGCTCTATCTACACGAGAAAATAAGAGAGTAGCTCTTAGGCTAAAATCACCATTAAAAATTATTTGTCTTTTTATAAGAACAGCTCACACTTTTTATCCAATAATCAAAGAGCAGAATGTCCTCATAGGGACAAGACCCTGGGAAGCAAAGCTAATAAAACCTAAAAGGTCTGAATTAAACATTCTGGAAGTGTAGACCCTGGGCCAACAATACAATGCGATTAAGAGAACTTATTAGAATGCAAATTACTCAATCTCACTCAGAATTATTTAATCAGAAGCACTAAGAAAACAGTTTAGCAAGATTTTGAGATGGGTTATAGATACATCAAAAGTTTGAAAACATTGCTTTGTATCAAAACATGCAATAAAAACACTAAAATACAAAACTATAATGAAATAAAGTAATAGGCCAAATAGTTGTACATATCAATTACAGCTATCAATCACTCATTTTTTAAGGAGAGAGAAAAACAATAAAAGCTATACAGAATTTCAAAACAAGATAGGAAATTAGCAATAGGTGTACTGCATCCTGTGGTCTTCAGAACATTTGCGCAGTGTGTAAGATGAAGAGAACTATAAAAGACCCGGAGGACGAAGGATGGCTACGCAAGCTCCCGGTAACTACACGAGGGCGGAAAGGAAGAAGGGAAGAAGCAGTCAGGGATTATCCGAGCTTAGGCTCTGGGTTTGGGGGATGGGATTGCAGACAAAAGGAAGAAGGCAAAAAGAAAAAAAATCGAGAAAAAGAAGAGAAAAAAATGGAAAAGAAAAATGAGATAAAACACAAATAAATCAAAATAAAATTGTATTTTTAAAAGGTGGACAGTCCCACCCACCTGACTCTTTCCTGGGTGTCTTTGCTCTGAGCACTGGTTCACGAACTTAGCGTCTGCTGGCTCGTACTTCCCACGTTTTCTGTCCCGCAGCCTCGCGGTCACGTGTGCCGCCTAGCCGCGTCCTATGGTGCGGCCCTCGGCCCCCAGGGGCCTCGCTCCAAGGTGCAGAGGAATGGCTCAGGCACCAGGCTTCTTCACTTACTGTTAATTTCATAAGTCATGTTAACAAATGCTTCATCTTAATGTAATATGTCCATCACTTCTAGCCAACAACTGGTAGAGTTTTAGGAGTTTTTCAAATTAGGGTCTGTACATTATTAGCAAATATTAATAAGGAATTAATATAAACTACTGGTAGTAAAGAGCCAACCTTACTGTTGGCATTTTAACCTGTACACCTCTCTCCTCCCTTTCTGCTAAGCATTGTAACAATGTGAAGAGAAAGCCCAGGAATCCTGTGCTAACGCTAGCAAATTCAAATCATGTAAACCCTACGGTGTGTGCACCCATCGAGACCACTGTAAGAGCCCAAATAAATTGTCTTTAGAGGTTTTCAGCCAGCTTGGGAGCTCTTTTCTGCTCTCAAGGAAGCTTGTTTTGTGAAGGCTCGATCTTCTGCACATCTGGTTGGGGACGGTGTGATATCGCCAATACTGAACAACATTTCTGGTAATAGAGAGTCTATCTCACTTCTAAAGTATATCCAGAAAATAAATCCAAAATGCTTTTCTCCTCCACTGAAAATATATTCAGAGACACAACTTGAAATATCCTCTCAGAAATTCTAAGCCTCCTCTGTGTGGCTTTCAGACAAGCTATCACAGATATGCTTAAATTTAAGCTTTTATTTTTGGAGCATGATCAGAAGCTGTGTTTTCTTAGCAAGAAATTTCTACCACGCCAAGATCACTTTTATCAAGCGTCGGTGCCACAGGGATTGAGACGCAGTTACATGTGTACTAAAAAAGACAAAGTACTTGCTCTCATAATCCTGACACTAAGAAACGACCGCGCGAACAGTCGCTCCAGGGACAACACTCAGTAGCTAATTGTTCCCCTCTCTGGTTCGCATTGCGCATAGACACTGAGTCCAGTTATGGGGTAAATCAAAGCGAATGAAGTTCAGCTGGAATCTTGATACCAGCGGTGTTTTTCTTAAGTATTGCTTTCTGAAAAAAGTATGCAACAATCCACGCAATGTCAGCGGAAAGGCAAAATACCAAATTAGAAACTCTACATAAGAAAAGTTCCTTCAGACAACCTCACATTTTGAATATTTGGAACGCAATTCTCAGTTGTTCATTATAATTGACCTTAAAAATCCAAGACTTCCAAAGAGAAATAGTAAAGAATCTGATCTCAGTCAAATCAGACATTAACTTCATGTATCTTTCCCGCAATTTACTTTGTTTTATAAATAAATTTTGTTCACAAGAGTTTTTAGACTCAACATGAAGCTTCTTATTATTCATAATAAGCTATCTTGTTACATTTTGATAGTAAAAATCAAATTCTGATTGATAAGCTCTAGGGAGTTTGAGCATGATAAAAGCAATAGTGAAGGCAAAATCACATTAGAACTGAAAACCATAGGTCTTTAGATAATTAAGATATGTTTTCTATAAATGCTTAGGAGCCATGATACTTTGCTAAGGATGTAATCTTTGAACAGCTTTATTACCTTTCACTGAAGAAAACTGTATATTAAATTATCCTTATATTCTTTGATTAACTCAAATCACAATATATAATATGATTAGAGATAATTCAACTCTATTTATCATCAACTACAAAATAATAAAATTTC